GGCTCAGCCAGGGCTCTCACTACCAATTTCCCCCAAGGTAACTTCAAGGGCAAGGGCCAGAACATACTTTGGGAAATCCTGCTGTAGAAGCTGCCAAGGAAAAGCAGATCTGGTTGCACACACCATGATTAGGAGACTGCAACATCCCTGGGAGGCAGGGAGCATAATTCTGGGAGCTCTGACCTGCCTGGGCTACCAGGGATGGAATCTACATTCTTCAAGGACATGTTGTTGAACAGCTATATCTCCAGATGCCTGTTTTCTTTCTGCCAGCCCTATTTTCTGAGACATCAATACCATCAGGGGTCTACCCACACCCCTATCATCAACACATCAACCATATTGTCAAGGCATCCTCCACAGATCTTTCTTCACCTACCACAGCCCAATCACCCTAGTTTGCAGCAATCCAAAGCCAGGAGACCCAATCTCAGCCTGACTTTGGACAGGTTATTGGACTCAGTCTGTCATGTCTGGAAGTTCCTTTAGCTTCCCAAATTCTATCTGTTCTAGTCTGTGCCCTCCTGCAGCTACTGTTCAACAAATCAGCGAAAACAGCTTCTCACTTGGCGGAACTGTGTTAACTCTCACTTCCAAGAGGCCTGCTCGTGCCAGGTGTTTGTTAGGCACTAGACATACATGTTATTGATGTTTCTTATAGGAATTCTACAAAGTAAGTGTCAGTGGGCTCCTCTGGCAGATGAGGAAATAAGGCTCAGCCAAAGGTACCCTCCCAAATGGGAGCAGCAGCCTCTATTCTGGGTCTATTAACTGTAAAGTCTAAAATATCCATCAAAATAAAATAAAAACAAACAACACAGCAGTGGCACTGGAGAGGTAGCTCAGTAGTCAAGAGCACCCACTGTCCTTGTAGAAGACCCAGGTTTGCTTTCCTGCACCTACATGGTGGCTCACAGACATCTGAATCTCCAGTCCCAGGGGATCCAACCCCTCTTCTGACCTCCACAGGCTCCTGCATGCACCTGATGCACATTCATATACTTAGGTACATACACATAAAACAAAATTTATGAAATTTAATAACCAATGAGAACAAGCTATCTAGACAAGGCCAGGTCAGGTCCCCCATGACTAGGGGATGACAACGTCTCCCTGGCCACCCTAAGTGATCTGACCACGAAAGAGTATGTGGAGGTCATCGATGCTGGCAATTGCCAGGACAAGAGGAAACAAGGCACTGAAGCCAATCTGGAATCTAGAGTTCCCGGGTGCTGATGCCGCAGTCCTGATTGAATGCACCAGACCAGACCCTGGGTAATTAACAAGCCATAATGGGATGTGATATTTATATTAGTCACGAATTTGTTGGAGAAAATGTGTTGTTTTCTCAGACATAGTCATGGAGACAACACCTCAATAATTCACACCATGCAGACCATCCTTGACGAAGATCAAGGTTCTATAGGGATGACAGCCCTGACTGAGATTATCGGTTGGTCTATGCCTTGCCACATACAGGTCCTGCAGCAAACCAGAGGCCCATCCACAAGTGGCCTATTTCCCCAAACACTTAAAGAAAAGTAGATCACATGCTAGCCGATCAATAAAACAAGGGCAGGGGGCACATGCTAGCCGATCAATAAAACGGGAGGGGGGAAATAAAACGGGGGGGGCAAAGACACATAGGTGGTCAGGAGCCAAATTTCAAAGGAATTCAAAGCACCACAAAGCTGAGCTTAGAATATTTCCCCAAACTGCTCTGTCCTTCCATTCTATGTATGATTCCAAGGCAAGGAGGGGTTTGGAACTTATGAAGTCCAATCCTTAGATTTCCCAGGGACCAGAGATGTTAAATGGCTTATGCAGACTGCCTGAACAGTTCCCAGGCTTGCTACAATCTAAGACTAGACTGAATCCCAAAATTCTGTGGCCAAATGACCAGTGCACACTGATGCAACCCAGGGTGGTGGAGGGAAGTAATAGCATAAAAAACCCTCAGCAAAGAACTGTGCTCCAATCAGGGGTGGGAGTGGTGAGGTTTGCTGTGTGCCTGTTGTTCTGTTTCACTCTCCTACTATATGAGACAGGCAATGGCTACCTAGTCCAAGCTGACTCAAGACTCATGATCCTCCTGCCTCTGTCCTTGAGTGCTGGAATTACAGGCATGTGCCACCATACCCAGCATACTCTTCGTTACTCTCCCACTTCTCCCCAAAAGTTTACAATCCTTAAAAAAAAAAAACAACAGTAATAATTAAGTCATCAGCTATGTGTTATTTGTAGGCCAAAGGCACAAATGAACAGAGACCCCAAGGTGTATGTTCACAGTCTTGGGTTCCTTTGACTAAAAAACCATGGTGCAGACCTGGAGAACAAATGTATAGGATTCCAGGCTCCTGCTGAAACAGGAGTTCTCCCTGGGAATTTCAGATGCTGAGAAGATACCTTCCCCAGAACTCCAGCTACTAGTAAGCCACTGGACCTGGATAAGGGCCAGGGTGGGCAAAGAGGCTTGAGGGTGAGTAGAAGTTTCTGTGGAAAGGTAGCAGAGGTTTGCTCTAGGAGACTGGCAGTTACAACTGTCCTAAACTTGAGCTGAATTCTCTATTCTGTACCAATTCTTGACAAAATGAAGGAATACTTGGAAAGCAAAGAGGAGAGGAAATGAGTGCAAAACAAACACAGAGCCCAAAAGGTAGAAAGGGAAGCTCCTAAAAATTCTCACTTACCATCATTAGGTAAAGGGAGTTGAGTATACACACAATTTAATTGAACTAATCAAGAGGCAGGTATTAAGAAAAGTGGACACAATTCTAAAAAAAACTCACAATACCAAAAATAGCCTAAAGCTATTCTGTTTTGGCTTTCAATCTTTCCAATCAAACACAATCATCTTTTATTCCAGGGTGATTCTGTATTGAAACTCTCAACTGTGTGCATTCTGCTGGTCTTGAAGCTAAAAAATATGTAGATGAATAAGTAGGGATTGTTTTTTAACTATTGTTATACAAAACCTATTCTTGAGAAAACTGCCAGAAGCTACTCTGGTCATTATTTAAAAGAGAAATTCTTTATATAAGTTCTCTAAGAAACAGTTCATGACAAGCACTATACCGGCACAGGGTACCCCCTAGAGTAAAGAGATGCTAAACACTCCGCGTAAAAACTCAGGATGTCAAAAATTTCATTATGACCAAATTTGATCACTTTCTGAAAACAGAAGGTAGTTTTTTTTAATGCCAGCCCAAGTCACTTCCATATAGAAAATAATTGAGATACATGCAACTAAAGATAGTCGCCAAATAACTGTATGGGAGGGAGACACTCCCAGGACAAGCTGGAGATGCAGGAGAAAGAATGAGTGAATGGGATTCTATGATCAGACTATGGTAAGTCTGATCGAGCAGGAAGCATCTCTGGGTCTGGCTGTAGGATCCTTGATTAATCTGAGGGCTTCTCTGGAAAGCCAGTGATCTTTCTCCTTGAAAAGGAAGGGGGAACCTCCATCGTCAAGAAGATGACTCTAAACAAAGCCCGCCAGTCACCATTGGATGTTTTCAGAGCAATGCCAAGAGGAAGCAAAGAAGGAAGGGTGTTCTTTATTTTTTCCTCCCTTATTCCAACACACCAGTATTTTCCAAAACACAAATGTGCTGCCACAAAACACAGCTGAGCCCAGCACCTACAGTGATGTATAATTAATGACACACAGTGCTTCAGTTGCCCTTGGGTTTCATAGTCAGCCTTCCCCCTTAGCCTAACCCTTCTTAGCTGCAAGATGCTACAAGTTGCTGAGCCCCGTGATGTCTCAGGGGGGTCCCGGGATTAACTTTACTAGAACAGGTGTGAACATTTGGGAACCAAAATGAGTGTCTTGCACAACCTACCCTCCTTGAGATCTCCTCTCTCCAAAAGTGTGGGTGCTATTCAGTCCTCTTGGATGAGAATTTTTCTAAAAGAAGGCACCCAGCTTAGGTCCCTTCCCCCCCCCCCCAGTTCTTTCTTTTATTCATTCTGTAACTCTCTGGCAAACACTACCCACCTCCACCTCCGGTTCCCCACCCCCAGCCAGTGCGTGGTGGTGGGCAGGGACCCCTCTAGGGATATGGCCACAGCCCAGGAGTAAACCTAGCAACCATACATCTGAGGTGTGAGTCCTAACACAGTGGGCAAATCTGCCAGGAATAGCTTAAGGTGACTTCTAGCCACATCAAGACCCAAAGGGGGGCTGCCAGAAGCAGAGGTCCCTTGGACTCTGAGGAGTGCAGCCCTTGTGCTACAGATTGGAGCTGCTGGCATTTTTGCGGAGATCCAAAGTGGGTGGCCTGGGAGGGGAGTGTAGAGGTGGCAAAAGTACTTGCTTGGGGTAGGGGGATGTTCCACAAAGAAAATGTAAGGGATGGAGTGGGCGGTGACATCAGACTTGCAACCATGCCACGTTTAGAAAGTAGTGACTCTCCATAGATTGACCTCATTCTAGGCTGGGTCTTCCCAACTTTTTATGCAAAAGATTTTCTCCTTTGCTCAAAGGAAGGTCCGTTTTGGGGGAACCCACGAACCGATTTCCCCAACAACAACAACAACAACAAAAGAAGTATGAAGTGATCTGTCCCAGCTCACCCACCGTGAGGAGCCTGGCCACAGCCAGTGAGTGGTGCCCAGCACGCACCCAGGGTCTTTCAGCTTCCTGTGTCCCCGCAAGGTTCCTTCTCCTCACTCCGCAACAACGTACCCAAGAGACACATGTCCCCCTACCCCGGGTCCGGCCGTAGACACCAATAACTCTACAATAAACAGAGAACTAAAGCGGGGGTCTGCGTCCCGGAGCGCACCGGCTGGGGTCAACTCCTCACCCCGGCGCACAGACCGCTGCCCCAATCCGAGGGCACAGGGAAAGGGGAGGGAAGGGCAGGCGGCCGGGACAAGGCTGGCAGGGACGGAAGAAGGCAAGACACGGAGCGGAGCTAAGAGGTGGGCTACAGGGGACGCCGAGAAACGGCTGGGATGGCGCAGGGGCGGGCGCCCGGGGCGCGCGTTACCTTCGTCTTGCCCCCGCAGTGGCAGCAAACGGTCCACAGGTACTTGAGCGTCCGCCAGAGCAAGATGATGAAGAGGCCCCCGAAGAAAGTCACCATGGAGGAGGCCAAGAAAGCCCACCACATGCGTTGGCCCCGGCTGTCGCACGGCACCTCCATGGTCACCGGGATGATGAGCGCATCCATCTTGGGCTCGTGGACCGAGGACGAGGAGGAAGAGGAGGAGGAAGAAGAAGAAGAGGAGGAGGAAGAGGAGGAGGAGGAGGACGCGTCTAGGCTGAGATGGTTCGCGTGGATATTGCTGCTCATTCTAAGACCGCTGCCTCCGCCGCCGCCGCCGCCGCCGCCGCTGCTGCCGCCGCCGCCGCCGCCACCGTTTGCCATAGCTAGCAACGGGCGGCAGGCGCAGGGGCTCGAGGGAGCTCCTCCCGCCGCCAGCGCCACCCCGAACACCCATCAACAGCCATGTTGCTGCTACTGCTGCCGCCGCCGCCGCGGAGCGCCGGGAGGGGGGCGGGGAGGCGCCTGGGCTCGGGGCGCTGTGCGCGACCTGGCGGGGTGTGCGGAGATATATACAGCCAAGCGCCGCCGCCCGCCCTCCCCCGGGCTGCCGGCCGGCCCGGGGGGGGAGGGGATGAGCGCGGGTGGCTCCCACTCCCCGACCCGGGCCCCGATCGCTCCCGGGGCTGCGCAGAGCACAGAGAGCCCAGGGGGCGCCGCGGGCCGTCCGCGCCCGGGGTCTGTGCAGCCCGAAGCTCCGTGAGCGCGATCCCGCGTGCCCTCGGCGCCGCCCGGCCCGCCGCGTGCGCCACGCGTGTGCGCTGCGCCCCGGCCCGGGGTCCCCCGCCCGTCCCCGCGCAGCTCTCTCGAGTGATGAGACGACAGCTCGTTAGGATCGGAGAATCCGCGCCCTCCCGCCCGGGCGTGCCCGCGCCACCCTTCCTCCCCCGGGCTGCGCTCCGCTCCTGGATCGCCGCCTCCTGTGCTCGCGGGGCCGCGGCAGATTGGCTGCGGCCGTCTGCCCTGCCTCCGAGGCCAGCTAGCCGATGCTCTGCGGGACCCCTTCGGGCCGGGTCTCCGCGACCCTGAGCTTCTTCGGCCTCTGCTCGCTTCTTCCTCCTCGCCTCCTCGGGCTCCTCCTCGTCCCCGTTCTCGCAGCCCGAGCCTCTTCGGCGCGCGCCCCGCGCTCCCCGCAGCCGCCAGCAGCGGCAGCTGCAGCAACTGGAGCGGGCGCGGGCTCAAGCCGCTCGAAGCGGGAGGGGAGGTGGCTTACCGGGTTGACTCGCCACGGCTTGGGGCTGAGTAGGGGTGGCAGGTCATTTGGAAGTGGTCGGGCATTCGGCCCCCCACCTTCCAGGACTCAGAGTATAGCGCCCCCAGCCCAGATGCAGTACTTAGTGGGTGTTGCACCCCCCCTAGGCTCAGCGGGGTACCAGAAGGGGAAGCCCCCAGGTGCCTGGGCTAGGCCGGTTTTCCCAAAGGAGCCCCTAAGGAGGAAGGTTGGAGTGGCTCAATTCAGTGGGCTTATTGCCCCTAGATCCTCAGGCTTGGAAATTAAGAAAGACCCTGGCCAGTATAATACACCTGCTGACAGATAGTTCACTTTTCTGTTTCCTAGGTGCCACAGCGTGCGTTGCTGATGAACAGGGGCATCTGGAAGTCTGTTGGTAGTCTGTGACCTCTGACAACTGCAGGTGGGTTTGTTGTTTATTGTTGTGGTGGTGGTTTGTTGTTTGTTGTTTCCTTATTAATCAACATAAGAGCAGGCAAGATGACAGCAGCCTGGCTATTGGTGTGAAACAAACTGAGCAGACAATGGGGTTTCTTAAAGGGTCGATTCCTTGTTCTTTAGACTCGTGTGGGAAGAGCAACTGGATGACGAGTACTCTGCATTCAGGCTTGCCTTTCTACATTTCTGTTTTCCTCTTTTCTCCTCTTTAAAGGGAAGGAGTCCAGGTTTGCTCAGCAGCCCCTGTCACCCACCCCACCCCCCAGTCCCCCTTTCAATGCACGCAGAAACTTCCTCCCTCTGGACATTTCTTCTACAGGATGGCAGCTGGACCACAACTTTTTCCTGTGCTAATTAAAACCAAGATGATCACTCTCCCCTCATTGCCCACAGTGATTTCCCCAAAGTTTCCAGCTCATTAGTTATAGCCTAATTGGAATTCTCAGGTTCCTTTCAAGACTCTTCATACAGAAAACTGGCCCAAGTGAGCCTCCTTACCTGAACAAGCTGTCCCTACCTAAATCATTGGTCAGCCACACCCTGGCTCTGGGATACAGGAGAAGGGCCAAAGTAGGCCAAACCTGGCAGACACTGAAAATATATGAGTCTCAAATTGGTTGGTACATTCCTTGGGCTCAGTATACATTTCCATTAGAAAAGACTTAAGGCCAAAATCATCTCCCCCATAAAACAGTATACAACAGAAGGCCGGCAAAATGGCCAGCTGGTAAAGTTACTTGCCTCCAAACCTGACCACTTGTGCCTGATCCTTGAAACTCATATAGTCAAAGTAATGAACTAACTCCTGTTAACCACTCTCTCATGTCCATGTGCATTCTGTGAGGGCACACTCACATTTACACACATGCACCTACACACATACACACACACACACACACACAGAGAGAGAGAGAGAGAGAGAGAGAGAGAGAGAGAGATTTATGTTTTAAAGAAGAGAACTATAAATGGTGTTTTCCAGAAGCAGAAATTGCCTCAGTCTCTCCTTAAATCATCCAGTGATCCCTCCAGCATCATCTGTTCTTCTACACTCAGAGGGCTGCAAAACAATCCCCCATGCATTCAATGGCCTTGGCTTTTTTCCAGCATCAGGCTGGGGTAGTTGAACTTGGAAAGGCTGGGGAGAGGGGAAAGTGGCTATGGTACTGAGATTTCTTTATTGGCCTTCTCAATAACTGTGTCTGTACCTCAACACATGCCTGAGGAACTTTGTTTTCTTTTTTCTTTTTTCTTTTTTGGTTTTTGAGACAGGGTTTCTCTGTGTAGCCCTGGCTGTCATGGAACTCACTCCATAGACCAGGCTAGCTTCGAACTCTCGAACTCAGAAATCCGCCTGCCTCTGCCTCCCAAGTGCTAGGATTAAAGGCGTGCGCCACCACTGCCCGGCCTGAGGAACTTTTCTTAAGTCCAAGAATTAACATTTAAACCTCAGACATCCATAACGTAAGTCAGCAAAGGACAGGTACTGTCCTGCCCTACCATGGGTTAGTGAGCCTTCAGAATGAAGAGCCTCCATTCCCATAGGAGCAAAACCTGAACCTTTGCAACCAGTGGTCCCCTCTAGGTTCTTCCTAGCTAATACCTACAACCTAGATCCTCCTGAAAACTATTATCAGGGTGACTTACAAGAGACTAGCGGCTGCTGTGCCTTCTGTCCTCCCACACCTGAAGTCCCCACCTGTGTCCCCATTCAGTTATCACCATCATCATCTAGAGGGTCCCAGAGGCCCCATGAGACACCTCCCCCAACTACCACTTCCTTTTGCTCTCTCACCACCCTAACTTTGCTGACTGAGGCTTTTAGCATCTCCGGTGTTGTCCAAAACCATGACTTACTCAGAATTCATCAGAGACCTCCCAGGGTCAATATTATCACCTGTCCCTGAGTGGACTAGAGACACTCAGGATATAGGCACAGCATGAGAGTATTCCTGACTGCCAGGAGTAGATATCATCAGGCCTTTGCCAAGCTCTGACCAGCCATTTAGAGAAAGGCTCTTCCTAGACACGGAGGAACCTCACACTCGAAAGGAACCTTGGACATCACAGACTTGTGCCATTCATTCCTAAAGCTGCAACAAAAACAGAAGTCAGGAGAGTGCTTGGTAAGTAAAGTGGTGAGTAAATTGCTTCCCGCACAAGGATGATGACCTGAGTCTGGATCTCTAGCAGCCACATAAAATCCAGTCATGGTGATATGCTCTGGTGCTGGGAGGTAGAGAAAACCTCCCAGGAGGTTTTCTGGACAGACAATAAAGTCAAAACAAACAAAAAAAAAAAAACAAACCGGGAGGGGTAAGCCCCAAATTGAGCCTCCCTCAATTAAGGTAGAAAGCTGATTGAGTAAAACATCTGGCATCAACCTATGGCCTCCAAGCACTCTGCACTGGGCAAGGATACAGGCGCACGCACACGCACACGCACACGCACACACATACTACATAAACTGGACAAACTTGGACCAGATCTTCAGACTGCAGGCTTTGCTTCCCACAGGGGAAGAGGAGGGATTAGGGGCCTCTGCTTCCACTTTGCTGTTCTGCCCACACAGCCCCTCAGAAAGAGGGTTGCAACGGGACCATGCAGCTCAGGAATCCCTGAGCCCTGCTGTATGTAGCCTTTATCCTAGAGGGCCATGTATGGGGCTGTGGCCAAGCTCCAGAGGGGCAGAAACCATCCAGCTTCCATAGGATCTGTCACCCACGCCTACCCATTGTCTTTTCACTCTTTCATTAGCCTGGAAAATGGGAAGCTCTAGAAGTATCTTCATATAAGCCCAAAGCAGCATCCCTACCTTCTGTAGGTGTGTCTATAGGTTGGGTATCCAGGGCCATTGTACCAGAATTAAAAGCCACAGAAATAAAAATAGAAACTTACAAGTGGGGGAAGGAGGCATTTATTTGCTTGTAAATACATTTAAAAGCTTCCCAGACTCTTCAGCAAATGCACCTGTGTCTAAGGTCACTTTCAGAGCAAGCCTGGGTTTTTAAATCTGTTACCTATTCTAAGCTGAGCATTCCCAATGGTTCTTAAAAGAAATACATGAGACAAAGTTCATAAGCACACAAACTAAAAAAGCGAAATGACTGAAGCCCAAAGAGACCGTGAAAGGCTGTTTAAGCAGATGTCAGCAGAGTATCACAGTTAGCGCACTGAGCTTTCTTCTCTCCAGCCCCAGCCTGGACCTAATGAATCCTGATACTCAGATTAAAAAAGAGAAAATTCTTTACGAATCTGTTGGGAGATTCAGTAATGCCTCCCTAAGTGATGTGGCGTCCTCTGGTGGCGTCTTCTGGTAGATCACTACATGATGACTATTCAAAAGGGGGCTGATTCATTCACTTGAGACAGAAAAACCCTGAGGAACATTTCACAGTCAAACAAACAATGTAACCATAGGAAAGGAGAGTCGTTAGAGGACACACACTGACTACAGTTAGTGTACAGTATACTTGAGAAGGAACACTAAGGGTTCTAACCACAGATACAAGAAAAAGGTAATACATAATTGGCTTGACTTCACTGATTATCCATTCCACAAAGAATAAATATTTCAAATAATGCTGTGCAACATATATAAATGCATTTTTGTCCATTTAGAAATGTTAACACTGGAGAGATGTGTCTGTGGTTGAAGGCACTTGTTGCTCCTAAGGGACCTTGCTTTATTTCCCAGCATTCATATAATGGTTCACAACCATCTGAAACTCCAGTTCCAAGAAATCTGGTACCCTCCTCTGATCGCTTAAGGGATCAACCTCTCATGTGGTTCACATATATGTATGCAGACAAACCAGGCACTC